TCTATGGCCTCAGTTATTTGTAACTGCGTTATGTTTATTTATAAATCATATTTGACGTGGCGGGATTTGACTTAAATTTCCTTTATGTCAGTCTTCCCTCTATTTCTGCAGCCTTGGTGGCGCTGTGGGAGAGGCAGGAGATTGCTAACCACAGGCTGGGGGTGGGAACCCACCAGCTGCTCCTCTGCAGAAAGATGAGGCTCTCTAGTCGGGTAAAGATTGACAGCCTCAGAAGCTATGAGTGGGTTTGGAGGTAGAAATGGGGAGCGGGAAGTATTATGCTGTTTCTATACCCCTTTTTCTTTAGAATACTCTTCAGAAAATGCTTCTCACAAAAGATTGAGTAACAGTTCCACTCAAAAACAACTTTTTTTTTTTACTCAAAAGACACCATAATAGGTCTACTAAAAATTTTAATAGAGAACAATAAACATATTTTACTCATCTTATTAGAAAAACAATACAGAAGGAACTTAAACTCATGGCAGAGAGGTTTCCACCTCACTTTAGAATCTGACCATGAGGTGTCCAGGGGATCAGGTATCAGGCATCTAAGACCCAGAACAAAATCACACCCAATGTGAATGGGGTGGGGGCGGGGAGGCAGAGGGAAGGCCAACGCAGGGAGGGGCCGTCTCTTTTAGGGGCTTGCCAAGGTGTGTCCTTGATGAAGATCACCCTTGGCAAGGATGACTGGGGAACGGGGGTGGTCCACACGGTAATGATCACGCCCTGTCACTCTCCCCAGACTGCCTTGTTCGGAAGACCCTGGGCCAATTTTGTTAGCCCCTCTGTCTAGGGATGTACATGTCCCAATCATGGTCTTCCTCAGACTTCTGTCGCCCCACCTGTAATTGTGATGTGCTGACCTGCCACCAATCAGGTGGCAGTTTCCTTTGCCCTTCCATGCCACCTTTGAAAGCGTTGTGTATCAACAAACCCTTGGACGCCACTTCAACTTCCTGTCTCTCCCATGTGAATAAGTTAACCAGATGTGAAACCACCTTGCAAACAACATCTGGCACTTTTTTCTCGGTTCTTCTGAGCTGGACCATAACTGAAACTAATGCATGAGGGGAGATCAAACTAAAAGGAACCAATGAAGGGCGTGGTGCTGACTGAGCCTCAAGAATGAAGATCTACAAATTCCATCTTGCAAGTCTGGCTAGACCAGAGGAGGTACACTGGTACAGATAGGAACTGAAAATACAGGGAATCCAGGACGGATGAGCCCTATAGGACCAGTGGTGTGAGTGGCAAAACAGGGAGGGTAAAGGGAGAATGGGTAGGGAAGAGGGAACCGATTACATGGAACTGTGTGTGACCTCCTCCCTGGGGGACAGACAACCGAAAAGTGGATGAAGGGAGACGTCAGACAGGGCAAGATATGACAAAATACCCATTTATAAACTATCAAGGGCTCATGTGGGAGGGCGGAGCGGGGAGGGAGGGGAAAAATGAGGACCTAATGTCGGGGGTTTAAGTGGAGAGAAAATGTTTTGAGAAACGATGTACAAATGCGCTTTACACAATTGATGTGTGTATGGAGTGGGATAACAGTTGTATGAGCCCCTAATAAAATGTTAAAAAAAAAAAAGAAAAGAAAGAAAAAGAAAAGAAAAAAAAGAATGAAGATCTAACCTATCACCGCCATGCGCAGAGGCAAGCTGGTAACTCTGCATGGGAGAGGGTAACATACACCTTGTTGTAACACAGACACTCCACACAGGGCTTCTCCAGGTGACCTTCATTTGTACCTTTTGGTTTCAGCAAATCTGTAAGCATGAGTATGGTGTATGGTATATCCGCCATGAGCTCTGTGAGTCATTCCAACAAGGTAATGAGCCCACAAGGGCACTGAGCATCAGCAAGGGCTGCTATCTGCCTACGTGGCAGTTTGAAACTTCCAACATGTGACCTATGACCTAGCCCTGGGAGGACAGGGTCAGAGAAATTATCTGAAAGAAACTCTGATCCCCGATAGGGTGGCTATGGTCGGAGAGAGAGTAGAAGGTTTGGACAGCGGGTGTTGAGGATAAAGAAAAGGGGAGGGTGAGAAGGAAAGGTGAGGATTACACCCATGCCCACGTTTTGTGCATCAGAATATCCACACATTAGCAATGAAGGCGAGCTACCTCGCCTTTTGTGCAATGTCAAAATGGTAATATATTAAATCTGTGATGTGGGTACAGTGTATTCCTCTGTAACATGGTCTTAAAAAATGCAGCAACTACTCCAAGAAACCAGAAAAAGAAGAGCAAATTAAACTAAAGGTATTTAGAAGGCAGAGTACAGAAAAATAAAATCAATAAAACCTAAAGTTGGTTCAACGAGAAGACCAATAAAACTGATAAACTACACTGAATATTCATGAGAAGATACAATTATCAATATGAGGATTGGAATAAGCGACATCACTGTGGAGTCAACAGATATTAAAATAACAAAAAATACAATAAATAGTTCTATGCCAACAAATGACAATGTAGATAAAATTGATGCATTTCTTTGGAGAAATAAACTACCAAAGATCACCCAACAAGAAAGACAATAAAAATGGCACTCTCAATCTTTGAAAGAAACAGAAATTTACAGTTTAAAAATTTTTCCACAAAGAAAACACCAATATCAGATGGCTTCATGGATGAGTTCTATCAAATATCTGGCAAAGCACAATTCCATAAATTCTTCTAAAGAGAATACTTCCCAACTAATTCTACGGGGCTATGAAAACTACAATGTGTAGCTGAGAGAAATTAGAGATGTTAATAAATGGAGTGATATACTCCACGATGAGTCCTTAACATCAATCCTGCAAAGACGTCAATTCTCCTCCAAATTAATCAATTTAATGCAATCAGTTTTTTAAATCACAGCAAGATTTCGTAATAGAAACCAGCAAACAGATTCTAAAATGTATATGGAAAATAAGAGCATCTAGCGCAGCCAAAGGCATTCTGGCAGCACTGTGGATCAGGCATTGGACAATGTGCTTACCAAGCACTGGCTTCTTTAACCCTCCAGTGGGACAAACAGGAAGTCGTCTGTTCCCATGAAGATCTAGAGCCTTAGGAACATTATGAAACACTTATACCCTGCCAGGGTCACTAAGACTCAGAACCAACTCTACAGAAGTGGATCTTTTTAACCTCGCCTTTTTGAAAAAAAATAAAATTTAAAAAGTAAGGACTAATACCACTTAATCATAGGCTCCTAGTTAACGTTCTGTGAGAATTCAGTGCTTGGGCAGGGGAGGGAGGGGGAAGAATGGGGAGCTGATATCAGGGGCTCAAGTGGGAAGAGAATGCGTTGAAAATGATGATGTGCAAATGTGCTTGACACACTGGAGGAATGCATGGGTTGTGGTAAGAGATGCAAGAGCCCCCAAGAAAAGTATTAAAAAATAATCATAAATTCGGTACTGTCTTACGGTGTGGTGCTGACCTAAAAAGATACAAATAGATGATTACATCACCATATAAAAATTAACTCAA